AGGAGGGCGGGCGGGCTCCGTTCTTCCCGCTCGGACTGGAAGCCTGATCCCATGGCTGCTGGCCATGGGGCCTCTCCAACAGGGCAGCTGGCTTCATGCACATGCCAGCCAAGAGGGAAACAGCAAGATGGAAGCCTCAGACTCTTGCGCCCCAGTCCCAGGAAAGCCTCTTCCCTATGCTGGTCAGAAGCCAGCCCCAGGGCCAGTCCCACTCGAAGGAAGGGCGCTGTCCAGGGCGTGGGCCGGGGAGAGGGCTCCCTGGCCATGGTGGCCGAGGATGGGCGAGGCTGGCATGGGGGTGAGGCCCCTGTCAAACAGCAGGGCAGCACCTCAAGGCTAGCATGCGCGGTCCTTCCCTGCAGGGGGCACTGCCATCCCCTGGGGACAGGGCTCCTGGGTGAGGCTCGTGCCCAGGACAGGCCTCTGCCCGGAGCGGCCCTGGAGGGTCCTCCTGTGCGCACGGCCTCCCCCAGGGCGCTTCTCCCAGAGGCAGGCGGACAGCTGCCTGGCGGGTGCCCGCACCGTCCGCACGGGCTCCCCCTCCCGGTGGTGAGGTCCCCGAGCCAGGCCCCTTTGGCCCGGCACCAGGCAGGAGGTGCCCACCGCGCTGGGCGGGGCAGGAGTCCTCTCCCTCGGGGCCGGCAGTCCTTCCGCGGAGGGCTCTGGGCAGAGGCACAGGCCAGGCAGGTCCCCCATCCGTGCCCCCCAGACCCCCTTCTCTCCCTCACTCCCTCTCCGCTGTGGGGCCCACGCTGGGCTCCCTCCGCCGGAGGACCCCCTCCCCCCCCCCGCCCTCCGCAGGTCTCCGCCACCTACGACGTGAGCAGGGCGCACCCACTTCGTGCTCCTGCAGGTAAAGGCCGATCCTCCCGCCCTCAGCCCAGGCTGCGCCGCGGGTGGGCAGGCACGGCCCTCGGGTCTAGACCAGGCTGGCCGCTCTGCGACCCCAGGCGTCCGTGGGGGGCTCGATCCGCGGGGCGCCCCACCTGCCCGCCCCTCACCAGCAAGACCCGCCTCTCACGCAGGTCCCGCCTCATCGCCCCGCCCCTCATGCCTTGCCGCGCCCTCACCGCCCCGCCCCCGCCTCTGAGCCCCGCCCTCACCACCAGGCCCCGCCATTGCCACGCCCCTCACCGCCAGGTCCCGCCCTCAGCGCCACGCCCTCTCCGCAGCGTCCGCCCTCCGCTCCACGCCCCGCCCTCATCGCCGCACGGGGGCGGGCCGGTGCCTCGGCTGGCCATTGGCAGAGGCCACCGCCTCTTGCTGTCAATCCCGGCGCCCGGCCTGGCCCCGCCCCCACGGCGGAGCGTCGTGGGACGCAGGGCCGCGGTGGCTGCCGGGACGGGTCCAAGATGGCCGGGCGCCTCGGTTCCGCTCCTGCCAGCGGCCGCCAACCTCATTCATTGCCGCGCTGCTGAGCGGCGCCGCCAGCCGGCCCGAGGGCTCCGGTCGCTGTGCCTGCGGGGTGGGAGATCGCCATGGCGACCCTGGAGAAGCTGATGAAGGCCTTCGAGTCCCTCAAGTCCTTCCAGCAGCAGCAGCAACAGCAGCAGCAGCAGCCGCCGCCTCCGCCGCCGCCACAGGCTCAGC